CACAGACTTGTTAGCTTAAAGGCTTATCTCTTTTAATGCTAAGAAGTATTTCCAGTGAGTTCTCACTGAGGACCTGATCAGAAGCAGCTGTTTCCACAGCACTCCATGTGTGCATAAGCCCTTAGTGAGACAGAATTTTCTGTTTGGATGATCAACATGCACATTTTTTTATATATCCAGCCTTTGTGCCTGGGAAGATAAGAAGAATCTTCTCCCTCCATTCTTCTTTAAACTCCGAAACACTTTTGTTTAAATGACGTACGTCACAGGAACACTTATCTGCCACAATGCTCCCAATAAGAAGCCACTGTTTATTCACTTAACATATATGATATGTTTCCTCCCCCTTCTAAGACTGTCCAGGTGTTTTCCTTACATTTTTAGACTTCGATGCACCTTTACCATGTAAATTTTCAACTTCCTGACATCATGTTAAAACTGATAGTCTCTGAAGAGAGTGTTCTCTTGCTTCTACTTTATGTATTAGTGACAAGTTTTGCTGTTTGTTTGGGGGTTTTTTGTTTTCCTCCTTTGTTTTCTTAATGTATCTGTGTGCTGGGAGTGTTCTTGTGCTTTGCAATAATAAATCTCTTTGATAAACTTACTCTGTATCTTTTCTTGGGTATTTGTATCTTAGAAGATAACCTTTCACAACTATTTTTCTCTGGAACTGATCAGCCATGTGGGCCTGATGTAAGTGCAGACTGCCAGCTGCTGGCAGGCTGAGTAGAAGGAGAGATTACCCTGCCTTTGCCCTGCCTTTGCTGCTCCTGCCCCAGTCCACTGCTGCCAGCTCTGTCCAGAGTGGGGGTACCACAATGGATAGCTCAGTCTGACCCTTTTAATTTTCTCACATAACTTTAAATCCCTCCTATTTGTTAACATTTTGGTGTGTGGGGGAACATTTGCATGGTGTGTCAAGGGGCTGATTCCACCAGGATCTAAGAAATGCCAGTACATCCATGTTCCTTATCCCCATGTCTCTGTGACATTATCCCTGAGGCTCTAGATGCAGCAGTGCTGGCAGCCAGAGGCTCAGGCCAGCCTCAGAAAGCAGTACCTCTTCCCAGGGCAGCCTCAGATGTTATGATCTTCCTTTATTGCAAGTACATCACCCTTCTGAAATTCCTCTGGTTCTCATGGTGCAGAGGAAGGGTTTGAGTGGGGCTCAGGATTGCCCCACATGGGGCACTGCAGCTACTTTGTAAGCAAAAAGACTCTTTTCCTTTTTTCCTCTTATTTCAGCTGCCTGCTCTCTTAGGTTCAGTGATCACATCTGTTAGTATTTTGGGACCTAATGACACACAAAAGGAGAGGTAGAAAGAGCATTTCATTCTGAAATGACTTTACTAGTCCAGAAGCCTGGTTTATACTGCCACTATCTGTTCACCATACCTGCTGCAGCCTTTCCTGCAAACACACACACAAACAGTTCATGCAAATTTTTCCACAGCTACTAACAGTTTGCAGAAGGAAGTGAGAGACATTAAGGATTTTATTTTATTGCTCTTTCTGTCCTGGAGAGTTTGATTAGGCATTAATCAGTTAAAAAACATTTTTACATTATCAGGTTTTTTCTATCCATGTTTTAAGTAGGTATAAATGTCTTCTAACAAATGCTTACATTATTCTGCCTCCATTCCTTATCCTCTGAACCCTGTTTTGAGCCACTGCCAATGCTTCCCAACCAAGCAGCCCTTTCCAGCTGGTGCAGTTAGGCAGGTCTGCAGACTCAGCTCCCCAACACCCTCCTAGGGATCCTTGACAGCCCCTGCCTGCAGCAGCTTGTGCCATGAACATTGTTCTCAAAACACCTCATGGTCCCATGTGTGTCATTGTAAGAAAGAGAATTAAATCCATAATAAGCTTAGACTCGGATCTACGAGGATATTCATATTTTTAAGTTATATCAAAACCAGAGAGGAAACATGCTCCTCTTGAGGTCACAGAGGTTAAGGTGATGGAAATGTTATAATAGGTCTCCATCATCTTGAATCTCACTGCCTTTAGTGGCAGGAACTGGAGGTCCACAGCCGCCAACACCCTGCTGAGAGAGGCAGATAAAATGCCTTGGTCAGAGAAAGTAATGAACAATTTGGGTTTAAGAAATGCAGAGGGTTTTTAATGCTGTGCACAACAGTTGGAATACATTGGTTAGTTTTGTTTCTATCTGTCAGAATCTAAATCTACATCTTCTGCTTCCCTGCAAAACCTCCTATCTGCCACATTAGAGGCTGCCTTGGGCAAGAATGCCCTTCCCTCCACACTTGCCAGGTATGATTTTTCCCACCAGAAAAAAAAAGCACTTTATTATTCATTAGAGAGAGTAGGCTGGAAAGGAACACCCAATTCCCCACAGATTAGGATCATAGGGAAGGGAAAACCTAGAAATCCAATTCCTACTTGAAAGAACAAAGAGTTTTTTGGCATCTTTCCAAATGACTGATTTGGGTGTTTGCCCTGTAAGCTCCATGTCTTGATGCCTAAGAAAGCTAAAGAAATGCCTGCTGACACCTGTCTGCCGTTCTGCAAATGTAAGGGTGCCCTTCCTAGAGAAGGACAAGGTTGCCATTGCTCTTATAGAAGAACAGGTGGAGAGGTCAGCCCTTAGGTATTTCTGTGATGTAAGTTTAGGACAGTATTTGGTAGGGCACAGCAGCTGTATGCCCAGTTGCAAATATACGGACAAGGATAAGAATCTCACTTCTGACCATTCCTCAGAAACTGATCACTCCTGTAGCAAAGGCACAGAAAACTCCATGGCACTCAGAAATAAGGAGCTGACCCGGCTAATATGAGCTGTGGAGAGGGGACTGCACAGTATTCAGCACTATTGCCCAAGTTTTGAGGATGGACAGACTCTTTTCTGGTATGTTAATGTTTTCCCAAGTCCCTCCTTTATCATGTACCACATTTCATTTCTAAATTTCTCTTCTTCACACCCAAACGTTGTTTGTTCCAATCCCCTTAGGCTTGCTATTTGCAAGTGTGTACAGAATTTTAACCCCTTGTCTTTCCAAAGCCAGCTGTGGCTTTGCTTATTTTCAACACCACCTCTGTCAAATAGGAAGCAACCCTACTCAACACCAGGCTCTCCTCATTTGAGAGACCACACATGCAAAAGGCATGAGAAGAGAGCAGCAAACACCAGACTAATGCTGAGCAGGAAAAACCTTTATGCTTTGCGAGCCCTTCTCACTGGCCAAACTCCTGCTTAGGGAGTCGTCAGCTTTTGCTGGCTCTTATTAGCAAGTAGCCTCCTTCACTGCTCTCCCATTCCTCTCCAAAGCCATCCTACACCTCTACAACTTTCTCTTGGTGCTTTTCTCTCTGTTTAGTTTCTCATACTCAGAAGTTTTCCTGCAAGTATGCAGCTATTATATTTCAATATAACCGGCTCTACTCTACTTGAAAGAAACCCCCATCTCATATTTTGTCTAAACTTTTATACATTCCTCAGCTTCCATAGAGCAATCACTGGCCAATTTTTAAAGTCCTTACCTGACTGGTTGTCTTGTTGGACTAGGACAAAGTGGATGAAATACAGAAATGCTTGGTGCTGTATTAAGAAAGAAGACTCTTTTTCAAAATTCAGAACTATTTCCCAATGTTTCATAAATTCAGGTAAGGAGTAAATTGCTTTTTAAAAATATGTTTTATAAATACTCCCTCAAGTGCAGCAGTGTGCAGTTTAAAAGTTTGTATTAATGGCTGTTTTTTTTTTCTCAAAGCGTACTTTAAGTTCAATCTAAGTTAACTACAGAAAAGGTCAAAAAAATTTTTCTAACTTTTTTGGAGCACAACTAACAATATTTAGCAGCTGGCAGTTGTGGTGATTACTTTTGGATTATATCAAAAGTCTGCTGGAATCTAATTACTGTGATCTATGAACCAGGTAATTAAGGTAAAAACTCCCACATTTTCTTATACCTCATTAATGTATTTCCTTTGAAAATTGTTAGCTAATGATGGTACATTAAGAGTTTATCCATTACATGACAATGAATAATTAACACCTTTGTCCTGGGACATTGAAGGACAGAATGGTGTTTAACTGCTCAATGTGACGATAATTATTTCTTAATTTACAGTGCAAATATCATGCAAGTTTGGGGAGAAAGGACAAATCAAACCAGGAAAATGGAATGGAAAGAAATCACTTCTTTTCATAGAATTGCAGAAGGATTTGGATTGGAAGGGACCTGAAAGGTCATCTAGTTCCAAGCCAACTGCTGTGGGCAAAGACAACTTTCATTCATTTCCCAAGAAACTTCAAGCCCTGTCTGCATGCAGGATCCCTGACTCACCTCCCCATAACCTCTGTTTTCAAGTTATAACCGATTCCAAATGTGTGTTATCACCCCAAAGACTGGGATCAACCCTTGGGTCTGAGTGTTCCAGGCACTGGGAGTGCAAACATTGCAAATACAGCTCTTCCTCAGTAACCAAATCCAACATATGACACACTGCAACAAGTGGATTAGACATGGGGGAAACGAAAAGCAACCTGTGGTTGTACAGGGCACACAATCACATAAATTCATATATAGATCAAAGTTTTCTTGAAGAAAGTGAAATGAACCAAGAACAAGAAATCTCTGTTGTCATGTAAAAGCTGGTAGGAATAAATTAATTTGCTTCAGGACTGCTTTGGTCTGGCTCTGCTCTACCACGTGAGGCATGTACTTGCTGCAAAACAGCACAGCAACGGAATCTATCTGTACTCAAGTATCTAATCTGAAAAGCCTGAAAGCTTCCAGTTTGATTGGAGCTGCTCTGCGAAATAACAGCTTTGGTAGGAAACAGTCAAGGCATTTGACTTGTCAGCCTTGAGATTTGACAGTCTAGGCTTTTGGATCAGAACTTCAAAAAAAAAGCTTCTCCTGATCATCTGTTAGACCATCAAGTAATTACATATCTAGTGGAATCCCGGCCTACAGGGGAAAAAGAAACCAGTCTGAAACCAAATATATTTTGCCTGCTTTTAATTTTGTCTCCAAGTATGATACATTATTCATAAAGCCACAAAAAGTAGTAAAGTAAGATTTTTCTGTGAGTTTTTTTTTTTTTATTTATAAGGAATTGAGTTAAACAAATGAGATAATTAGGAAAAATAAGGTTAAAAACATTGATTCTATATGAGAGAGAGACATGCATGGCTACTCAGGAAATCCTGCTGTAAGAAATTACCAAGGCCAGACTAGCAGATGTCCTCTAAAAGATTAAATCAATCCACCTTGGAACTGCTCTTTCTTGAGGAACAGGGAATTTTCAAGTCATCACCTTCCCAATAATTCTAAATTTCTATTAGGTCAAGTAGTTCAAGCTTCGGGCTCGAAGGCAAGCCTTCAATCAGTTCTCGGCCTATTCTTCTTCCTGCTTCGGTGGACATAGCCTTCTGCCAGACCTTCAGCAGCAATCCTCCTTGGAAAGAAACACAACATGACATTGGCAAATTAGCATGGAGCGCATGCAGCTCGCAGCGTACCAGGGACCAAATGCGCTCCTGGCAACAAGCACTCCACACTCTCCCCGGGACAGAGAATTGCAGACAAAGCTGGAGCTTGCTGAGGGGATGATAATTGCCTACAAATGTGCAGGGAGACGCAGAGCATTCATTCAGCTCAGGATCCTTTGTATTGACAGACAATGGGGCTCACTCCCCTGTCACCAGTGCTGCAGGTCGAAATGATTGAAGACTTATGGGAAGGTCTGTGGCAGGTAGGTCCGTGGTTTAGGGAGCAGTAGCCTGGGAGTTATAGTCAGGCCTGTCTTCGTTTCCACTCTAAAACAAAGAGTGTTCACTTTCTGCTAGCTAAGACCTAGAGCTAAAGAAGCGAATGATCCTAATACTTAAGTCCAGGTGATAAACAGTGGCTCTCTAGGACGTGTGGCTCGGCCAACCCAGCCCAACATCAGCCCCAGTTTGCAGGATAGTCACTGCCTACTCCTCACCCCAGTCAGTGCTCATCTGGAGCACTGGAGTGGATAGAGGGGAAATCTGAGGGTAAAAATGTCTAGTGTAAGAAGAATTTATTCTGCTCCTGTTCTGCCTTTGGGTAAAAAGTTGATCTGACAGTCCATGAACAGAAAAGCTTTAGATGCAGCACAAGTCTCATTACAGTTCCTGCTGGACTAGCAGGGGCAACTGAACAAAAATTAGGAGTAATCAAACTCTGAATCAAGAAATCAATCTCACTCTGGGTTGGACAGGGTCCCGTCCTAGGAGATAGTAAGACCCTCTATCTGCTGTTGAGGTTTGCAGTACCAGTAGAGAGCCCTGTCTCTCACAGGATGTATTTAAAAGCATCTACAAAAACAGCCTGTTTTGTCACCTGTGCTTTGTAGCACTAAGGTAGGGTCTTTCAGGTCTCTGCTGAAGCTGTGGATTTAGATGCAGTCAAATTTATTTTAAAGCTCCTTTTTCTGATCTGCAAATCAGTTACCAGGCTGAATTAGGTGGCATTTAATTCTCAGCTGAATTCAAAGCTCATCCCTTAGAGCAAAGTCAGGGAAATCTCTGCCCTGAAAAGCAAGGGATTTCAGCTATGGGATTCATTATGGCTGCACCTGCACGAAGCTTATCTCTCTCTCTCCTTCCACTTACAATGTTCAGCATCCATACATTGTTCCCTCTCTCCCTGCAGGGCTTTCCTCACCTGATGTGCTACCCTGGTGCTCTCATCCCTCCTTCCTGTCCTTCTGGTCATGCTTTTCCTTGCTGTGCTCCTCTCCTTTCCTGGAGGTATGTCAAGAAACCCTGAACTGTGTCATAGGCTGCCAAGAAAGCAATAGATCTGTTCGGACCCTTATTCAGATTCCTAAAATAATGCCATGTGAAAAATGTGAGGGAAGCACTCTGTGATGGGAAGATGCTCTTTTGTAGCACTGAATAGCTTTATTTCACATCTTTCTCAGCTTTAAATCCGACTGGTGAGAGAATTTTCAGTGAAATTTACAGATAGAAGAGGATCACAAGTGCCATAGCTAGGCATGCCAATTTTTCAGCATATTTTTACATTCTATTTTAATTTAAAGATTCAAAATAACTTTGCTTCATAAAGGTCAAACAAAAATAGCCAGCCTAGAAGTATCTTTGAAAGAACTGAATCCTCAAGAGAGTGTAATTCTGTGTTGCACCACTGGATGGTGATGTACGACTTGTTATGGTGAATACGATAAAGTCAGCATTGACTAAGGATAGATTTGCTGGGACAGATCTCTGTTAAATCAAAGACCAAGAGAGAACCAAAAACTGAAACCAGAACACTTGTGGACACAAAAACTGTTGCTTATGATAATTTACTTTTTGTTTGCTTGTTCTTGTTCAACTGGTATAATAATTTCATTTACAGTTATAATGGTTTCAGATTCAACTGATGAAACAGAAAAAAAAGTCTCTGTTTTTAAAATTCCTGTGAAAACTGGGAAAAGAAAGAGTAAGATCATCTGGGCTTTTTTCTCACTGAAATCCCTCATACTGTCAGTGTTATCCCACCAGCATTTGCTGTCTGGTGTGTTGTTTGCTTATGGTTGTATTTTAATTGTTTTACTGTTAGTCTCTAAGATGTGTTTATACTACTTTATATCAAACATTCACTGTATTGTGAATTCCCTTATATGGAGAAAGGTATGTAGAGAGAACAAGATATTAATATCTATGGACAACAGATATCTGTAGGTCACGCTCATACCTGTTATTTTATTTACTTTGTGAAGAACTCTCAGTGACACCAGAACCTTATTTTGCTCTGGACTGAAATCACTAATGGATGGGAGAACATCCCCTTCAACAAGCATCCTCTGGGGCAGGAAAGCCTGGAAGTTGTTTGTGGTCAGCAAGTCTGTTTTGAAGTGTGTGGCGGCAATGAAATCTACAGCATCAGCCCAGTCTTCTCCAAAATTTGCTTCTGGATCAGAGAGATATTTTAAGCTGAAAGAGAAGAAAATAAAAAATGCAGCAGATAACTGAACTCTCCTGTAGAACACACTAGTTGATCATTTATCCCAAAGGTTTTTGTTCAGTATAAAATCCTGAGTGGCCTCAGTGCCACTGTGACTTGAAGCCTCCTTAAGTACTTTATACCCAATTTCTCCTGGCAATTCTGCCTCTTCCCAAATTAAACACAGCTCCTAAATCAGACCCTGGCTCCCAGAGGGGAACCAGCATCTCATTTTAAGCCCAGAGCCTGACTGGTCATCACAGTTTGGGCAGCCATCTCCCACTGGTCGTCCCACACTCTGAGAGAGGGGAAGGAAGAGCAGAGCCTATAGAGTAGATGCCTAAGGTATGAGTGCGGCATTTCCATGGTCTCTTGTTGTGGGGAGAAAAGATGAATCTGACTCCACGTTCTTAGAAGGCTAATTTATTATTTTATGGTATGGTATGGTATGGTATGGTATGGTATGGTATGGTATGGTATGGTATGGTATGATATGATATGATATGATATGATATGATATGATATGATATGATATGATATTAAAGAATGCTGTACTAAACTATACTAAAGAATTGAGCAAAGATACAGACAGAAGGCTAAAAGATAATAATGAAAAACTCCTGACCCTTCCAGAGTCCTGACACAGCTGGACCACTATCGGTAATTAAGTCAAAACAATTCACATGAAACGAATCAAAAAATGACCAGTTGGTAAACAATCTCAAAACACATTCCAAAGCAGCAAAACACAGGAGAAGCCAATCAGATAATTTTCGTTCTCATTTTTCTCTGAGGCTTCTCAGCTTCCCAGGAGAAGAAATCCTGGCAAAGGGATTTTTCAGAAAATATGACAGTGACAGTACGAAGGCTCATGCAGACTTTGTTAGGATACCATCCTTCCAAAGAGGCCTGGAGGTGGGAAGATGCTCCATGGACACTGCTCTATTCCCCTTACCTGTCATGGAACATGGGGAGTGCGTAAGCAATGGAGGAGGTGTGTGCCTTCCACATGAGGCCAAGGGCATCGTCCAGTTTGAAGGAGGAGAGGCTGGCAGAGCTCACAGCTTTGTGTTCTGTAGATAACAGATACTGCAGCAACAGGGAGCAAAAGGGGCAGAAAATGAGAGAGGAGGTTTAAGCCAAATTTTTTTTTATATGAGCACATACCTCACAAAATAATAAGCTAAAGGAAATTGCATTTGAATAGTTAGTGATAGCTGCTATTTTTCCATTTCAACATTGCAAGGGTTTTATTCTTTTATTCACATAATTTCGGTATTTGGTTACAAAAATGCAGTGGAGTTTTGTATCTGAGTGCCATGGAATATTCAGTGCTAAAATAGGGGACTTCTTATTATCATTAAAAACTTACCTATATTCTTTTAACCACAGCTTTCTGAAGATTTTCAGAAAAAAAAAGAAAATTATCCTGGTTATCATTATAGTTATATGAGATATTTTACAATAACTTCGGAAACATGATGTATGGAAAAAATAATCTTATGAAGACAGATCCAGTCTTACTCTTAAACAACTTCTTTTACTCACAAGGGGTACTTACAGTTTAACATTCCTGCTCATTATCAGTTGACTACCAATAAAAAAAATTGACTGCAGTAGTCTAGCTATAAAAATTAGCTATTAAATCTATGAAGTAAGAAATACTGTTATTTTTGGGATTAGACAACAGCAGAGTGAGGAGGAAAGAGAATATCTCCTTTCATAAATAGGTGTACTTCTGAATGATATTTCAGCATTTTTAAGTTTTAGATGCTTAAAGAAATAAACCTTATGGAACCAACCAAAGGGTACTTTTTAAAGCCAGTGTTACATTTCACAGGCTTATTTGCATTGCTAACATAAGCAGATTGGAAGAATACAAATATAATTGAATACAAAACAGTGTCTTGGAACAGAGGCCAAAATGCAGAACTGTCTCAAAAGAAGAATAACTTTTTAAAATCCTGTCCTACGTATTTCTGACTCCCTGTATGTTATGCTTTCCATTTTTCCTGCTTATTTTTACATGAAGCTGCTATTGAAAACAAACTAAGCTCTCTGAATCTTAAAAAATGACAGTAATAATAGTTTTTAAAGCTAATATTTTGGTATAATGTCTAAAAATATTTTTAAAAAATTATTTACTTCAAAAAAGGCCTTCCAGTCATCCATGAGCTTGGGCATGCGAGACCAGCAGTCTTTAACGCTGTAACAGAAATCATCTTTTTGCTCCTCTGGTGGCAATATTTCTATCTCATATGGCAGCTGCCCAAAGAGGCCAGCCTCCACTGCCCCCAGAAAGGGTATAATAGACAGATAGTAATTCATACCTGTAACAACAATTAAAAGGCAGCAGGTGTTAATCACAAGCAAATGAAAAATTCCCACATAAGAAAATGAACTTTCTCCCACACCAAATGCAACTGTTTAAAATTGCTATGAATACAACAGTGTTCAGCAGTGGAATATATGTACTGAAATGTAATAAAGAAGACCCTTGTATTGATTTAGATATGATTTGTAGTGTTCATTTATGCATTGTCCTTTAAGAGCCTTTTATGAGCTTCCACTGTGTTTTACTTTACAGGAAAGGAAAAAAGCTAATGGAAAAAAGTTAGACCTTGTAGGCTGTCATGGACAGGATAAGAAAAGTCTCTCAAATACTAATTGCAAACTAAGTATAGAAAGACTAAGGGGTATTCCACAAGTGTGGTTTCTATTAAAAAATCCTCTTCTACGTACCCTAGACCTATGAGCAAGGGAAATGTGATATTTTACTGGAAAATAATAATTTTGCTTCTAAAAAATATTTCACTCACTGAAAATTGCTTGATATTACCTCAGTTTATCTGTTTAGATTCATTTTATGATGATGGCTTTCTTTGGTCTGCTCCATAAGTTGGAGCAGTCAGACACAGAATGTAGGAAACTCAGGCTCAGTTCTCACTGGTGCCAAATCTTGACCTGTCAGAGTGCCCACAGGGCTATTTGATATTCCTCTCTTGAGAGGAGAATCTGAAGTTCTCCTCTTAATTGTGTCCCCTTTGTAGAAATGAATTTCAATAGTTTTGAGTGAAGAAAACCCTGGGGATCTGCTGTTCTCCCTCTTGGGTGGGCGCCTCTGAGCTGTTGTGCTGAGAAGTCATTTGCCCACGCATGGTCTCAGGGACATGGACTGCACTGATGTTTTGCACAAAATCCCAGCAGTGAGGACCAAGATCATCAAAACCTGAACACCTACCATGTATCCATATCCTCCTAATGGGAAGCCATTGCTCCACCTTATGGGAGAAGATCACAAAGCAGTGTTCATGAAGGAGTATGTATGTTGGCTGCAGTTCAGCAGGGACTGGGTCTGCACACCTTAGGAGCAGGGATACTGAGGGAGCTCTGTGTATTGCTCTAAGCATGAGATGATAAAAAAGGACGGAGCAGCATGGAGGTGCTGTGGTCATGGTCTGTTGAAATCAATGCAGGTATGAAACAAAGGATGGAGCAACAGAGTGGTGTTGTGGTTATGCTCCACTGAAAACATGCAGCTAGCAGGAACTAGGCCCAAGGAATGAACCAGACAGTAACCAGAAGTTGGCCTTTGCTTCATTAGCTCAAAAACATGTTTTGCTTTTCTGTACACATACTAATGACTCAAGTACCACATCAACATGAAATGTCACCAACTGTAACTTAACCTTTTCTCTTCCCTCAAAGGAAGCAATATAAATCTAGCTAAAGTGGGGAGGGAGGCCAGAGAAGACTCCATCATAACTCCTGGGATCAGTCAACAAGCTGAACTTGTCTTCTTCCCCCAAAGGGATGCCTATTGGGTAAGAACCTCATTCCATGCAAGCTAAATTATTATCTCTAGCTAGCTTTAATTGCTGATTATAATTGGTCAATATATTGCTTCAAATTCATTTTTGCAATCAGTCACTGTCAACAGCAATCTCTGAACCTTAACCTGTCACAATGTTCGATTATCAGTGTGTTTGTTAATAAAGTGTGTTATTCAGTACACTGTTTAGCGTGAGTCATTCAAGGGCACTAAGGGAGGAGTGGCCAGAAGCAGATAACATACTTGACAAACCTGGAAATATCTACCAACTCCAAGTGGGAACATTGTTGGTTGGTGACCCTATGCAGGTGGGTCAAACCATGCTCTGAGTGGATTGTTTGGTGGGGTCCCCATAATGGGGCACTGACAGGCTGGTCAGGCACAAGGGTTTCAACTTCTCTGGGGGTGCTGATGGAACAAATATAAAGTGTTATATATAAAGAGAAACTCATGTGACACAGCTCCTAAATGTGGACCTGCTTGGGAATTCAGGAAGAAATGTCTGGCCAGTCAGAAGAGCAAAGGAAAACTCTCTAGTGTTGAGAAGACAGTGTTTCACTGAGACTCATTGCTGGAGTGGCTCTTGCTTCTTATTCACTGTTTTCCTGAGGAGTACTGAAACCTTGATCTCACATCACAAAGTGCTTATATTCTTTTCAATGTTCTCACCTATATTACGTATTTGCACCAGGTTGGGTGACTTAGAGGGCATAAAACAGTGCAGGACAGGACTACACTGAATATTATTCTAGGCAAAGAGACTGATGTTCTTAAGCAGGTAGTTTTGCATACACCCGAGGTATACTGTATGTGAGTTTCTGTTTTAAGCTCATTCCTGGTTTCATGTGACTACTTGTGCCAGAGAGGGCTGCTCTGAAGGTCAGCTGAAAGCTTTCATATCCTCAGAACACTGAGAGAGGTTTCCATGCAGTCTCAAAGACTCTTTGCATGCTCTTGCTTCAATAGGGTAAATCAATAGGGTAAAAAGCTGAGTTTATACATTTTCTGGAGGCAACAAAATGGATATCAAGCAAACATGCAATATTTAGAAGTAAATGAAGAGCAGGAATTCAAACACTGAGAAAGTAAAAGTGGTAGATTCTATTCCAGGAAGGTCCCCTGCTTACAAAGGGCTATGCAGCAACTCTTTTTACTTGACACTGTGTGGGACACCATCCCACAGAGCACTAGTGCTATCCAAACACAGAGAGGGAAAACGAAAACTGAAGTGAGTACCACAGTCAGTTTTACCCTAGATTTACATTTTAAGTTTTATCTATGCTTATGTCTTTGTTCACTTGAAGATATATACATTTAGCTGCTGATTCACAGCCAGAAGCTTAATCCAAATGTCCACTGAAGGAAAAACATTCCTGTGCCAGGGACGGGAGAGATCTGATTGCTCAAACCTACCAACAGGTCTGGGTAAAAGAGGAACTTACAACAGGGCATCAAGGAAGCTGAGGGAGCAAGGGACAGAAGTGATAGAGGGAAAATATGCTAAGGGGAAAAGAAGCAAGGATGGTGTAAGAACCACAAAGTTGCCTGCTTGACATTTTCTCACAAAGTTTTAGTTCGAAGTGCAAGCATCTAAACTGAAGAAATCTGCTCTGGACTAATTGTAAACTGCAAATATCTACAAATATCTACAAATATATATACTTGTCATTGTGTTTCCCACATATTTTCACATGAATATTTGCAGTATAAATATTTTTAAGGCTGCAAACTTGTTGAGTTTTTTTTCTCCTTGCTCAAGTAAGTATTCAAAATCAATTAACTTTCATTTACACACTCACACTTAGATGTCTTGCTGCAAGTTTGTGATGGAGAATTGCACAGCACTGAAATTATAATGTAATAGAGAAGTCTAAGGGGAAGAAATATTTTCAGATGTCCTTCAAGGACATTAATTTATTTTGGAAAAGAAAAGTGTGACAGCATATACTTACAGGACCACCAGCTTCTTACAGATTGGCACAGGGGCTCTCCATTTTCATAGCCACAGGAAGTCACACCAGAATGATCTGCTAATCTACCTGAACGAATCAAATGAAATAATACAACAAATACTTCTCAAACTTTTCACACAAGAAATCCCACTGAGATAAAAAAAAAGATTAAGGAATAAAGCATGCAGATTTTTGGTTAGAGAAGCAAAACAATCACTGTTGCTTTGCTTCATAAACTAATGTCCTAGAGTAGTTGAGTTTCTCATTGCATAGTAATTTGATTGTGTTTTACATTTTGAGCTATCCCTCACTTTAAATGTATTCTGTGAACGTATTGAACTGTTTGAAATCAGGACATCACAGTATTTTTAGTGAGATTTAAATATGCATTCACATGCAGACATGAGCACATGCATAGCTGAAGCATCATTTCTAATAGATGTAGGGCAGCTAGTTCAGGAGAGCTGCTCAACAAGCAAAAGAGCACAAACTAAATGTACCAGTAATTGCCTCACCTAATTGGGTTGTGTGATACAGAATCACTTCCAGCTTAATCATGCAGACAAACGTAGCCTTACTGTGAAGCTAAGCATGCAAACATTGCTGTAACTAATTAGCAAAGTTTGCAAGCATCTGTGCTGTAGAAAACATGCAAGACATTTCGTAATTATTCATGAGAGAATATTTTACTTTGAGCACATGGCATGAAGAAACAGCCTAAGTCCTAAAAGAATACCATACACGTACATTAAGTGTTGTCAGGCAGAGTGTCAGGAAGCCTGCTTTAAGTGCATGGCATGCAATTACCATGGCCTTGTGCAACGTCTTGAGCTATTCCAGAAGCTCCCAAACTGCCCTGCAGAGCACTTGCTCTCTGAATAATGAGTCAGCTGAATAATGGCAGTGTCATTTCTGCCAGATTAGAACTAAATCTCATTACCAAACCAAATCTTCTGATACTTACACTCAAGAAGAAGAAATGATCATGAACAATGTGCATACAAATTATTTTAATTATTCTCCCTAGCTGACTGGGCAGAGCTTGTGCTTTGGGGCATGTTAGTTACTCAAACCTGTATCTTTCAGTAGCCAAGCACTGAGAACATGAACTTGCAATAATGAGGGTTGCAGTTCAACCCACTTTTTAAAATGAAGATTATATTTTTTAATATTTACAGAAAGATTCAATTTTTCAAACTTTTACTTCAACAGACTGTCAAAAAACAGGCAGCAATAGATTACTAGTGTGCAAAGAGGATGAATGGGAAGGATAAAGCCTAAGAAGAAAAAGACAAAATGTTGCAAAAGAATTGTACATGAGGTTTACCAAATATTGTTAGCCTTGGTGTTTCAGGAAAATGAAGATTTCCCTGGCAGTATCAGTGATAATCTTAAGATAGAAATTGGAACTGGAAGCATTAACTGCACTTACAGGTGTCCACACCATTTTTGTTGTCTCTGCTTCCTCCTATTCCCTGTACTTAACACAATTGTTATTTCAGTCTTCAGGTCTACCCAAACTAATCTGTATTGACAGTACCTCCCAGCTGTGTTATTGATAACTATGTGAAACCTTGTCAGCAAGTTTTCTCCACTTTTTTTTTTTTTTTTTTTTTTTTTTTTGTGGAAATGTTGTTACTGAAAGTGCTAAATGTAGTTATTCTTATCTTGCTGATGAAGAACTCCTAGCACATCCTCCACTTAGCCATAGACTTCTTTTAGCTGCAGTTATCACTAAATTCTCCCTCAGGTGTTCCTTTACCAGATTTGCTGTTCCCTTGTTCTGTAAAAGGGCGTAAATGCATTTCTGCATCTCTTTTTGAAAAAAACCCCAAAAGAAGATATCAAATTAGCCTGAAACAATTTACCTTTGATTCACATAACCTGTGCTTTATCCCTTTTTCTATCTGGTTCCATGTCATTAAATATTCTTTCCTCTATACTTATTCTAATGACTTGTTTACTGCTGATGTAAGGCAAACAAATACGTGTTCTTATCTCCTTTTTTTTTTTTTTTTAAGTACAGCCACAATCTTTCCTGCTCTTCAGACATACAATACCATGTGAATATTTCTTAAAGTTCTTGATCCTGGATTTGTACTTCTGTATGTGAAGTGAGGATAGAGTCTATCCTGTTTCCTCAGTTTCTCTGGGTAGGACCCTCAGTTTAGCTTTACCTCTCAAGTGACAATTTCTGCTTCCACAATCTCATTCCTAATAGCCATGCTGTCTCATGATCCTTGTCTCTGCTGTAAATTTAGGCAGAATACTGATTTCATTTTATGTCCCTGAGTGGATTATCACAAATCTTCATGCTACTCTTATTAAGTAACAACTTCACTTGTTCTTCATGGTTTATACAGAACTGTATCCATAAAAATATTCTCTCAGTAACATAGCTTTCAGGACAAGATAGAACTGTTAATTCAACAAATTTTGTAATATTTTCAAAGTTCTATTGTCTTGCACCATGAACTCAAATCCTGCTTTTGTTTGCCCAATCTTATTATGTTGATATACAAATGCTTCAGTCATTCATCACTAATCTATCACAACGCCTATCTGGATTAGGTTTAGCCCTTGTTAACCTCACCACTGTATGCACCAGAATTATGTTATTCTTTGTCCATTCCATTTTTCCTTCAAATGCTCACATTTTTTTTACTGTAAAACTACTTCCAACTATGTGATATTTCTCCTTTTAGTATTTTTTAAACCTTCTGGTCATGTAAATTAAAAAATTTGTCTGAATGTCAGTCCTATGACTCTTTTAGCAGGTGACAGGACATTACCTGTCTGTGCAACCAGGGGCAAATGTTCCCCTCACAAACTATGTCCCTTGTTGTAGTGACAACTTCCAAGTTACCACTGGGAAGTTATCACTACAACAAGGCACATCCTCACTTTGTGGATGAGGCCATACTCCACAACCCCTCCTTTCCAGCAGGTCACCACTCAGCTGTAGCTGCTATATCCAGTCATCTTTGCCTCTGCCACACATTGGGTCAATTCTCCTGCTGTACCAGCCATCCCTTTCATCTGCTCCTCTTTTTGTACACATAAGGAAGGAAAAGAGGAAAAAGCTTGCCTAAACCCCAACCAAACTCTTTTTGTTGCTATCTGTTTGCCGTCTAGTTTCCTGCTTGTATTTTGCTTACTATCTTTTCTTCTTCATTTTGACTTAGGAGTACATTTTCCATTAGATGTGACAAAATGCTGACAGCCTTCTTTCACCACCAGGTGCAGGACCTCTGTCTTCTCTCAAATATACAGTGGCACCCAAATCACCACCACATGTAACCACAGGTTACACCCAATAAAGAAAACAACAGGCAATCAGATGCATTTGTTTACCCCTGATAAGATATTGCAGCCTTTGCCTTAAGGAACCTTTCACATGTGTTTCTGTGACTTCTCCCCTGGCAGGGACAACAAGCAAACCAGAATGACTGCCCTAGACAACAACCAGCTTTTAGGGGATAAACCCTTAGAATCTGGACATAATTTAAAACAAAACAAAACAAAATAATAAAAAAAAACCCCACAAACAAGAAAACAAAAAACCCCAACAAACAAAAACTTCCATTTTGGTAAAAAACATATTTAGAAAATAAGGAGGCTACTTCTAAACTGATCATGAAGAATAAATGGAAATAAGCTCTCAGAGGGAGATGTGGACTTTCAAATGTGTCTTAGACCTAAAAATCAAACCACCTCTAGAAGCTTGTAACATTAACAAAAATAAAAGCCTATTAGTTAAAAATTTAAGAACATCATTATAGAATGCGTGCCCTGATATCTGTCTACATAAATTGAAGCAACTGGGAATGCCTTTCCAAAGATTTTTACTTAGCTGAAATATTGCCCATCTATACCACAAATCTGGATTCTGACCTCTTCCTATAAGGAATTTTAATAGCTATTTCTCAGCAAGGTAAGGGTGTTCACTCAGCATTTCTTTTTCAAATTGGCAGCTCTGTCAAAGTTTACACTGTCTGAGGCCATACTGTGCTTGTGAGGAAGAAACTTTGGAAAGGAAGCCTTTAAGCAGGTCTGGTAAACACCTTGCTAAGCCAGCATCTTAAGGAAATAATTCATACCTGTACGAAATTGCCAGCCATGCTGCAATGGTAATCCCCAGAGAATATTGCCACTGTTTTGGGGTCCAAAGGCATCAAAATATTTGGCTGAAGCACTTAGCAAGCTCTTATACACTCCTAGTCGATCTTGATAGTTCCAAGCATTGATGACAATTTTGTTGTCCTTTACTGGGAAATCCAGCAGATTTCCAGGGGCCAGGTCCCACAGAGGGGGATAGAGGTCTTCTCCAGTGACATCGTTTTCGCTCTGCGTTGCAGCAGGCACAGGACTGAAGGTGACAATCACTACAAGGAGAGCATGTATGCCAAAGTGGGGCCACATTGTGAAGGCTTGTGACTCAGGTGACTGTAGCTGCAGGGCTTTTATTGGCAAAGCTGAGGGCTGGACAAAAAGGCTGACTCAGACACACAAGCCTTTGTCTCCCTTCCCTTTCCCAGCCATGACCCTGATGTGGAGTTGCCAGACTAGCAGCTGTGAGCAGTGCTCTGTCCTCTCTGTGGGATACAGGGAGCACTACCAGATGTTTAAGAGGAACCAATCTAATCAGAAAATGTCCAAATCTATGCTGTCCATGAAATATGTACATGCTTCCAAATGGGTGAGGTGATACAATACTGATTGCACAGTTGCGCTATAAAACTTTCTGTGTCCGTGTTTCTTACTAGATGTCAGCTTCCCTTTCCATATCCAATTCCTTTGGGTAAAGAAGGGACAGAAGTGGCAGAGATCTCACCTCAACACATGCACAGGCTATGGGTGAAGTATTCTGAGGAAGACTCCAGGCACTGACAAAAGAGCAGCAGTGACATGCTGCTGGTGCTGCCATTGTCAGCTTTGTCTTTAGGCCTTGGGACAGCTGCCTGCAGCCTTCAGGTCATGAGTGTTGAAAGTAGCCAGATCTGCCTGTCTTCAGGCCATGTAGCACCTGGAGAGCTGTACTTTAAGTACTGGTTTGTCTTGTGTAGAAATGGTCATCTTTATATAAAGTTCTAAGGTCTCCTATTAAACCTCCATGATCCTGTAGACTCCAAAGGGAAGACAAAGGCCATGCCTCCAGTGATAAAATTGGTGTTTAAATTATACTCCAACAAAAGTGAAAACATCCAGCTGCCTTGATCTCACCTACTGTCAGGAATTCTAGGACTTTATCATCCTCAGCTGCTTTTTCTTAGATAAGCCATGGTTGCAAAAGAACAGTCAGCAAACAGACACGTGGTTTGTTATCTCTGTAGTCTTTCATCGCATGAGAAAAATTGCAAATGCTGCTTTTCTTTGAAGTTATTCTGTGAGTTTCGGTTGGGCTTTGTGTGCTGAAAGAACCTTCAAGTGGGAGCAAGTCAAAACTGGCTGCAAACTTCTGATAGTAAATTCAAAATAAATGTATCTCTTCAACTCAGAATTTTTCCATTTACTCTATTTATTAAGGAGACTTTCTAGTAAATAGCAGAATTTTTCAATGATCACTTATAATTTTTTGTCTGCTTGTCCTTGGGTGACTGAGAGAGAAACCCAAGTGATTTTGAAATACAGTGTTTAACAGAGATCAGCACAGATCTGATCGTGCTGCCTTGAAGAAGTTTTGAAAAATCAAGTTGTTGTTTCATTAACTTCTATGGATGGCATTTATCTAATCCAAATGTGGGCATTTTAACCTACATATGTAGATTCCCTTGATAACAAATCAGAGAATCAGGTATACCCAGAATGTAACTCATTAAAGCACACCACTGAGAGATGTATTGCTCCTGACTGACTGCAGAGGGAGTAGAAATTACAAGTTTACTTTTAGACATAGAAAACATATTTTTAGACTCAATAAAATCAATATTCTTTTAACTACTTTTCTGAAGTAATTTCTGATCTATACTCTGAAAAAATTATTTAGGAAATGTTTTGAAAGGTACTTTTTTTTTTCCTTAAAATAAGGCATTCTATTGAATAATCCTGAGGATGAATGCCAAAAACTGTGCTGAATTTTTATATATATATATATGTATATATATATATATTAGTCCCTAATTGAGGCAATGGGCAGCAAGGCTTATCTAAAAAGGAAGGATAGTGAAAGGCATCAGCTAAGGCACAAGATATATGGAGGAAACTTATGAAATAAAAGGCATAAGGCTCATAATTGCACTAAGGCAGAAATTTTATTTAGTGTCAGGAAGGAGTGAGTAAGAGTGGTTGGCTTTTTTTTTTTTTTATCATCACTGAAAGATGTCCCAATTGGGAAGCTAAACTCCTTCTGTTTCTCTTTAGTCAAAGAGGAGAGTTTGAGCTCTCCTAATGAAAGATACCAGGCATTTGTATTACATGAGCAATTTTATTTAAGGTACATAAGATAAATAGAGGTGAATAAAAATCTTCACTTTTTCTTTTTAGAGATATCGTATATTTACATCCTCATGGCAGATTACCTGGTAGGGGACTACTGGTTCCATGCTTGTTTGGAACTGTACTGTGCATGAAAAACTGTTCTCCTGCTCTGCCATCTAGAAAGGCTAACCCTACTAATGCTAACCTGGGCAGGCATGAAAATATTAATCACTAGTGCAAATGCAAAACCACACTCTCCCAAAGACTTATAATACAGAATTGAGATAAATCAATGACATAATGCTTGCCTTATATAAATTTTTGAGCTATTTGATAGAAAAAAATTGGTTTATATATTAAATGGGAAATAATGACCAAGAATACATCTACTTAAACTGATGAGTCTCTTTGCTTTTACAAGTTTCAGCCTTTTGCCTTATTACGGTAATAGAAGGACTTCAATAACCCAGTTATTCTTTAAAGAGCGAATAATAATTTTTATTAGTATAATAAAAAGTTCTTCCTGAAAAATATTATAATTCAGTTTAAAGATCTTACTTCATTTTTGCACCTGTGTGTGCAAACAAGTTGCTGAAGTTTCAGTAAGACTTTAAGGACAACAGTTTTCCTTTGAGAAATACCTGAGCTGGTGTTTCCAGTTTGGAATCCAGTCCAGTTGGTTTGGTTGTCCTGAGGGGGAGAGGGGAGGGTACATGTGATGTCAATTTGGCTTGAGTGGTGTTGGTGTTGGGTGTTGAGCCATAGCACCCCTCCAGGGATGCCAGCATTTTAAGCATTTAAAAGGGAGGGAGATTTAAGGGGGAGATTAAGGAAGACTATTAGTAATGTCAGCGCCATTATTCACCACTCTGTTAGCAAGTACCCCACCTGTTACTCAGTAAGGATGTGTTCCCAGAGGTGTTGCAGCAGAATCACATGCTGGGAAAGACTGCAGGATATATAATAGGTGGCAATTTCAGGTCTGATACGTAATTATCAAGTCTCAAGAGAGACTGCTGCAGTTTTCAAGTGGGCTATAGATTTTTCTTCAAGATAATTGCAGAAAAGCTAATAAGCATCAATTAGATTAGTTGAGGTGACCACAAGAAGAAATGGCAGCCCTAAGCCCCAAACTATCATAACATAAGGTTCCTTAGTCCTGTTGGATACACTGAGGAAGGAGCTGGAAAGCCAGTGAGGAAGGGACATCAGTACTCCAATGGAATTAATTCAGAACTGACACAGAGTTTTGCAGGTGAGAAACCTTTAGGTAGACTGGGGATATCATTATCTTTCAGCCATATAAAATAGCACTGAAAGGAAGGGTTTTCCCGCTTCATTTTAGGGCAACAGTCCTAAGAGGAAGAATAATGAGTTTTCATTTGTATGGGCTATTGCTATGAGCCTCCCTATCACATGGCACCTTGTTTCACGCCCTGACACTTGCACCAGAAATTGTGGGTGCCTCATGTCTCTGATCTGTTTCAGGGGAAAATGACTACACTCTTGGTAAAAGTATTCTTCATGTAATTCACTGAATAAGCTAAAAGCAGTGGATATATTTAAGTTTCTTACTGCTTTCTGTTGTTATTGTTCACTGCTATTGTCTGGAACAGGCTTTCTGTTTCTTTCTGTCACAGGCCTTTAGTATTGGGCAGGGAGGATCTCTCTGGCTGCAGCATCCTCCAGCAAAACCCCTTAACAGGGCTGTAAAAGGGTTTGTAAATTGCTACTGGTGTTTCTGTGAGTAAAGGTCATCAGCCAAACCCTGCGGTCACATGAGTGCAACCACTAATGCAGTAAGACATGCTGTGGTAGGAGCATCAGGCATCTGAGGGGAAATTATAGTGTGTGTAGTGGATATAGCAAGAGGTGCTGCATCATCATGTCCTGGCTCCTTCCTTCATCCTTGAAGCTAACATTTCTCCTTCTTTGGAAAACATCATTCTCGTGTTGTCTATGAATCCCATTCTCCCCTCTGCAAAAGCCTTCCTGTGTTCCCAGCTGATTTTGCCTCACCAAACAGAGTAACCTGCACTGAAGATCCTAACAATTCAGACTATAAATTGTAATTAATCAGCATACACAGAGAAATGTCAAGTTCATGTCTGTGGTGGGATTTTACCACATGCAGTTTTTCTTTCCCAGACAAAGCAGTATTCTTTCCATGAGGCTGGGTGGGTGGAAGTCTGGCTGGACAAATGGCAACAAAGGCAGGTGTAAATCCAACATTTCCAGAGCTCCTGTTCATAATAATAAAAGAAGATTAATTACCACCAAGGTAAAAATATGGATTGAGGAGCAAGGTACACACAAAATGTGCAATGGCTGGTGGTGTCCTAGGACACCTGGTGGTGTCCTAGGTGTACTTCCCAGACCACAGTGCTCCAGAGGAGTCAAGACCATCCTCAGATTTCCTGAATAGGCTTGCTTGCAGGATCAATGTTAAGATGATATATATACATATATATACATATGAAAGAAACCAGCCAATAAAATTATTTATCAGACCCAAAACAAAAAAAATTGAAAAAATTTGAATTAACCTGAATTTTTTTATTTTTATAATGGTATTGTGGAGGTATTTAGCTTAGAGGTTAGTTCAGATTATACCATAATCTTTATTGTGTTTTTTGTCTTCAGCTTGAAGGTGAAGCTGATCATGGAGTCAGCTGTCTGTAGAATTTAGCACCTACAGCGTGGTCTTCAGCATCACCTCTTCAGCACCTACCATAAAATACTTCAGCCTTATTGTCATAGTGTGATGGAATTCATTCCACTGAGTCAGACTATATAAAAGCTGCACTCACTGAAACACATACTTAAAAGTTGATATAACCAAAACAGATACTCCTGAGAGCATCTGAGTTGTAAATACCTGTTTAATGGAGGAAGATGATAGTAAATTTTTAATATTATATGTCTATTTTTTCTTAGAAATTGTTGTCAAATACAGCCCTAAGACTGCTTATGAAGCCAAGGAAATCTTTTGGCTGTCTGGTTATATATCACCAG